GTCTCTGTCTGGGGTGTTCCTGTACTGAAGCATAGCATGCTGAAAACTGTCCGTGTCCAGGTCACCATTAGGGCTGGTATTGTCCGTGATGAGGCGTTTTAATTGTCTTAACCCCAACTTCAGCACGGCAGTTACTATGGGGAAAGGCTACTGATGACATACGATGATGTACACCCCAATCAGAAAGGAACTTCTTGGTGGCAGTTGATGTGAACTCCGGTCCCCCATCTGAGGATAGCTCATGGGCTATGCCAAAGGTGACAAAGGTCCGTCGAAGAGAAGCTATCAGGCCAGCCGCTCCTTGGGGTGCTCTCTCCAGAATCGGCCAGTTGGAATACGGATCAACGATGACAAGGTAGTTATTGCCCATGTAGTGGAAGTAGACGCACTGGAATGGGTAATCAGGATATATCAATGGTGTCGGAGGGGCACTCGGTTGGGAGGGGGTCATGCAGTTGCAGTGGTTGCAACCTGTTCTGGTATATATTATATAGGGTGTATTGCTAGGCCAGAAGATTGAAGATTCTGCTCTGGTTATCATAGAGGAGATCCCCTGATGGGCACTGTGCAATGTAGAGAGGACTTCTTGCCTTAATGCAGGTGGGATGACTATGCGGTCTCCATACAACAGAACTCCATCGATTGTGCTGAGGTCCTCCTTGAACTGATAATACTTGCGAAGCTTGATAGAATACTCTTGGCGGCTCTCTGGCAGACCTGAGGTTATTAATATAAATTAGCATAGCCATATCTGCATCACTTGTGGTTGCTGTGCGTACTCTGTCCTAGGTCACTGATTTCAAGGTGATGGATGCCAGAGAGGATGTAAGTACAGAGATCATGTTTTCCTCCATGGGGGTGTGATTGGGGGCTGGGGATCGGATTTGAGACAGAGGGTGATGTTGGCTGACAGCAGCAAAGTCATCAGGGAGTGGGAGCTTATCTGGATCTCCTGTGGGATGGCGAGATACACAATCCGCAGCAAGGTGTTTGACCCCATGTATATGTGCCATCTGGAAGCGGTATCTGAGGGTCTTCTCCTTCAAGTTTCTGGGGCGGGGGTTGTTGATATCATGACTTGTGGTCAACTGCAATGATGAGGTCTTGACATCCAAGGACAAAGTACCTTGTCTTGTTCAGTGCATCAGCAACAGAATGGTCGGATAGGCTGGCAAGAACAATGCTTCTGTAGGAACCAGAACCCGATTCCATTTTTGGAACAGTCAGTTGCAAGGCATGTGGGCCTGGACTTGTCAAATATTCGGACCCAATCTTCAGTTTCCTTGGAGATGACAGCCCTGGATTCTTCAAAGAGACTGTTGAGATCCTCGTCCCATCTAAAGGTGGGTTCCAGGTTGAAAAAGACGTATAAAGGGAAGCATTTTGTTTGCCATGCTGAAGGCATACGACACCTGGTTGACCAACCCAAACCTTGATCGCACATAAGTAATGTTTCGGGGGGGGGGGGGGGTGGGGGGGGAGGGAGCCTGAAGGTACTTGGAACTGGGCTTGACACTGTCCATGGGAATGTCAAATCCTGCAGATTCCACCTCATCTTGTGCGAAGACAAATTTCTCTGGGTTCAGAGTGATGCCATGTCACATGTCCTGGTTCTTATTTCCTAGAAGGTCTATCTGGATCTCAGAGTCTGCTAGTCCACGGGTTAGAACATCACGGGTCATCTCCTCCAAGTAGCTTACAGCAGTGTTGCAGCTGGGGGATAAGACAGAAAATGTGCATACTCCTGCCTGGCCTTTTAGACGGGCTCTATAGTTGCAGACAGGTTCATCTCTGTCTTGACGCATGTTCTGTTATGTCACTCTAGTCACCATTGTGTTCTCTGTGCGTACCGCTAATGCTTTGATTGCGGTCATCACCCCATCAATGGCTTTGTTTGCAAGGCTGCCACCTGCTGTCCTGGTTAGGTCTTTTTGCAAGGGGTCGTCACAACATTCCAGCAATTGGATAACCCTGTCTTTGCCAGCTATCTTCGTTGCATCGGCATACTCTGTCCATCTGGACTGAAAGTATAACCACTCTTCGCTGGTACCGCAGGCTGATATTGTGGGCCGCTTGACTTTCTCCGCTTTGGCTGCAGTTACGGGGGTGTTGGTATGAACATAGCTGTGTGTGGTGAGTAGGGCTGCTACGTAAGTGGCGTCAAGGTCATCTGTGGTGTAGTCACAGCCTTCTATTGGGCACTGGACCGCCGGCATGTTGTCAGGTATGGGATAGCGATCATAAATAAGTACACTGCACTATTTGTCGTTAAGCGTTTATTGGCCCAACTTGACAATGATCGCTATCTGAAACAGAAGAGTAAATTACATAAGTCAACATAAATACCGGGGTAGTAATCCTATAGTATACGCCACCGTATGGGCATTATGGCAAATGTAGGCCTTACTGTTCTCCCTTGCTTTTTCCACTAACTTTTCTTTGTCACTTTTTCTCCCTTACTACAATTTATGTTACATTAAAAACTTGTTTATTTCTAAATCACCTTTTCATCTTTTTGCATTGCCCATTTCAACCTCTATCCCCTGCATATAGCTACATCTCTATAAAATAAATTCATAATGTAATGTAAAAAATTCTAATGGGGGCTGTCTGTCACCAGGTATTGAAGGTAAATATAAAATGAGATAATGTAGTGAATGCAAGGAATGTGTTTTACATCGAATTACTGCGGTACACAGCGTGTTCAAAGAACAAAAATAGTCGATGTACTCGGGTTTTTCTTTGCTTTGTCCTTTCAGGTCTGTTGAAAAGAAAAAGCCAAATATTTTCTAGACTCATTGATTTACTCAAATTGTTACTGTGTTATCAATAAAAGTAAGGAAAACAATTGCAAAAACTGTGGTAAATATCGATGTAGTGTAATGATTTTTAGCAGAAATGTTTTTCAATTATCGGGCAGTGCATTCAAAATGCATGTTAGGCTCTTTCAACTGACCAGAAATCAAGTGAAAAATTGATGTACTCGGGGTGCAGTCTGTTTTTCTTTGCTTTGTCCTTTCAGGTCTGTTGAAAAGAAAAAGCCAAATATTTTCGACACTATCATTGATTTACTCAAATTGTTACTCTGTTATCAATAAAAGTAAGAAAAACAATTGCAAAAACTGCGGTAAACATCGATGTGGTGTAATGATTTTTAGCGGAAATATTTTTCAATTATTGGGCAGGACGTTGTACATAAACGTATACAAACAAATTAATGCATGTTAGGCTCTTTCAACTGACCAGAAATCCAGTATAAATTTTTTTTCCTTTATTTCATTAAAAAGATACACTTCATACAGTAATAACATGTTTATTTATTTTAAATATTATCTTAGTAAAGGTCACCTATAAGATTTCATTAATATATTTAGAAAAAATTGTACTGTCACCATTAGGACAGCTCTCTCTATCATCAACTTGAATAAAATAAACATCACACGTATTAAACTATTTAAGATGAAGATACAGTAATAAACGACATTATTACCCTGAAGTTGAAGGACGGATTCTGAAAACAAGAGGGTCAAGAGTCAAGAGGATGTGGGGAGAGTCATAAGGAATGAGCTTGAATTTTCCTGATCACCAAATGAAAGGATATGTGGTACTAAGTGACCCAATGCTATTTTCCAGAAGTGATATTGTGTCATATTTAAACTTGTTTATCTCATCTACCTCCTTTCTTTTCAAAATTTTATTTTTTTATTTTTTTTTTTTTTCATTTTTTTTTTTTTTTGCTTACTGGTGTTATCTGCATTATGCTATACACACTTTGATATTAAAATATTGTATAAACCTTTCTTTCAATACATAGTAAATATTCCTTCTAATAGTTTTCCCTCTTTACACTTCCAGCAAGGTGTAATGTACCAAGTACAGAGTGTCCAGCTGCGTAGTGACAAAAGTTAATATCTAAACCTGTGCCAGCCTACTGTGCTTTGAAAAGGCACTTGGAAAGATAAAAATTAAAAAGGTCGTCCACATGATAAGGAAATATCAGAATAAAGGTTATTTCGCATCAAAAATAATGTGAATATGAATAGATAAACTGATCAATGATAAATGGTAAAGACAGTACATAATCACAATATCTAAATATTAAGCTGTTAATTCCCTGTAAGTTGTTGTTAACAGGTACAATGCAGTTACACTGTAAACAATTCTTAAACCTGATTCCTACAACTAAACTCTACTCCTTTAAACTTAAGCTACTGACTAAAGTCCACTTAACATCATAATCATTTTGACTAGTACCTTTAGGCTGAAATAAAACCAATAATAAATCAATCCTGTTTACTCTTCCTTCATTACATACACAAATACATTTTATGATTTTTAAGGAATGTCATAAACATCAATTGGATTTTTAAACCCATTGTTGAGCAAAGTATTTTTTCAAATAATTAAGATCTTTATTCTTAACCTGTCATTGTTAAACTCAAACATACTTCAGAATATTATGACTACTTATGGATAATTTAATGTAAAAGTAAAATCATTAGTTACCTAATAAGAAGTAAAATTTCAGTTAACATGATATTCATCAGCCAGATGATATTTCTAGCAATAAAAATGAGTATCAACCAATATGGAATGGGACGTATACTTACTTTCAACAGCTTACATTCATATTTCAACATTTATAAGAACAAAGCCAGGGCTGACCCTTTCACCTATTATACTAAACATGTAACAGCCACACAACCTATATCACATCCAAAGCCAACCCTCAGAAGAAATGTAGCAAAAAATGTAAAACTCACTGTTATAAATTGAGATTTGAAAAAGGGGTAAAAATTTCAAAACATATTATTTGAGAATTGAAAAAATTTATGTACCCTGTTCTAGAAACAAAGCATAAAAAGAGAACAGATAAGTTAAATATCAAAGAAAAGCCCCCATAAAAAAGAAAGGGTTTTAAATGTTGTAACAGAAAAGGCAATATATATATTTTTTAACAAGCTTAATGTGGTAAAATAAAACAAGACAAAACAATTCTATGTACAAAAAGGGTAATAAAATAAACAGGCAGTCCCTATTAAAAAAATTCAGGATGATAACATATAAATAGTGGGTGTAGCAAAACCCAAACCTATACCAGAAACATAATATTCCATAGTGATATGAAGCATTAAATATTATCTCACTTTCATAAATTCCTGTGGTAAATGTTTTATTTACAATATAAATATCAAAATATTTTACATCTCTTTTGATTGTCACTCGTTATGGTGAAAAACAACAATGTGTAAGTATGTGAAATTTTAGCAATAGTTGATGTTTGCATTTTTAGTCGATTTCTCTTAGATTCCCTATAAACATAGAATTTCAAAGCTTTTTTTACTTGAGGAAAGGGGAATATTCTCCAAAAAAAAAAAAAGAATTTTCCTTGAAATTCTAAAATTCCCAATAAATCATTCATTCTGCCTTCTCTTTATTTCAACTATCATTTCAATTAATTCAGGGAGCATAAAATCTACTCCTTCGCTTCTGCTCACACTTCCTCGTTACTCTAAAGATTAATGAATCTTATGTTGTCCTTATCATCTCACTAAATTTCTTAAGTTCTTCAATCTGTGCCCTCATCTGATTTCTCTTGAGTTTGGCCTCCTCCAGCCATGCCCTCTGGTCCTTGCTAGTCTGTAACAACACAGCCACCATCTGGTGCAACTCGTCAGCATTCAGCTCTGATCTCCGCTGGCTAATCTCCGCCTTCAGGGACGCAATCTGCTGTAAATTCAGACTAGCAATGTTGTTCAGGTTGGTCTGTATGTTTGATAGCCTCGTCCTGGTGGTGTTGGTCCGTTGCGAGGCCAACTGAGCTCTCTGATAGGCAGTGGAGGTGCGAGACTGGACGTTGAGCAGAAGAGGCGAAAGGTTTAGACACACTTGTACTGCTGGCTGCACCAGACTGGTATTGGCTGTCCCCACTCTGCTGAATGTGGCAGGCAGATTATTGAGCTGGCTGTTAGCATGGGTTTCCAGGTCCATAGCTTTGCTTCTCACAGGAGCCAGAGTCTGGAAAGCACATAATTACATACTTATAAATTTTGCATACCTCTAATATATACTCTTACTGTTCTTTACTTTTGTAAGACTTGAACATTGATGACAATGACTAATACAACTCATAAAAATATAATACAACAGAACATAATATATTTATGGTGAGAAAAAGCAGGGGGTCTGCCCACGTTAATGATATTTTGGCTCCCAAAAAGTCAGACATCTGCAGAGCTAGAAAAATCTTATCACTGAGAGAGAGAGAGAGAGAGAAAGAGAGGAGGGAAAAACAGAGAGAAAGAGAGACCTGCTCCTGGCTCTGAGCTGTACTCTTGGCCTGTTCTGCTGTTGTCCGGGCATTCTGTGCAAAGGCCTGTGTGGGCTGGAGTGATGATCTCAGGACCTCGGCATTCTGGATGGCCTGGTCACTCAGGGCCTTGACCTTCTGGACCTCTAGGAGTGACCTGTTAGCCGCTGCTGAAACACCTACAATATCCAGGTAGAAATGGTCAGTACGCCATGTAAAATAAAAAGTGCAGGATGAAACACGAGTCTTTTATCAGTAATGAATAAAGTGAAACAAAAATCAAAATACAGCATTGCAGTCTAAATTCAAAAATGAAATAATTTATTATTCCAGTGCAATATTTAAATCTATAAGATAACAGAAATGCACACTTGAAAATCAGCAGGGACTTTTCCAATTTCTTTGAATCACATGAACATTATGTTTTCAACTAGAGAAATTAAATAAAGTTTTCATTTATTACAAGCATTGTTTTTTAGGTATGACTTAAAAGGTTCTTGCCACTTCTTTATTACAGACATTAAAATCTCAGAACAAGTCTTAACAGGCACATTACGCCCCCTCTACCCCCACCCCCACCCCCACCCCCCAGCCCCCCCACCCCCCACTCCCCTCCCACTCACCAGCAGCTTGAGCGTCAAACTCCCTCATAATCTGCAGCATCCTCTGTGCATCAGTAAAAGTCTTCCCCTCCAGTGCCTTCCCACTGGCTGTCAGGTTATACGCCGTCCTGGCGCGGGCCAGCAGGTTCTCTGCCTGCTGTCTGAGGGCGACCACCCTGTCTGTCAGGCCAGCCGTGTACAGCTCCGCCTCCTTCACCAGGGCCACTATTGTCTGGTTGTTGGCAGTTGCCTGGTTAGCCTGGAGCACAATGTTGATATTAATAAAAAAATCAAATTTCATCACAGGAAAAGAATATGTAAATTCTAGTTATAATATTATAATAATTTTCTGAAATATGATTAGTGATAAGTAAAGGTTGTAAAAGTTTTATGTTATTTTTTTACAATTTTGTGTCACTCAAATATGCATATCTGAATAAGTATAATTTTCCATTCATCTTATATAACCTGCATACATCTTCTCTCTCTTCAACTCAATATTTAAAAAAATGTGCAGGAAAAAAAATGAACTTTGTAAAGTTAAAATACACATAGCATTCTACTTATTTCTTTATAATACCTAATAACAGAGGCAAGATAAATTTATATACACATGCAAATAAATAAAGATTCCTCACCTCAAAGTTCAACGCCTCTGCCTCCTCCTTCAGTAGCTGCGCCCTGGTGGTCAGTGTCTGGCTGTCCATTACTATATCCTGGTACTGGCTCACATTCCCCAGGGCAAGCAACATGGCCTCCTGTGCCTGGGTGATGGCACTCCTGGCGCCCTCTGCACTGGTTGCTAGGTTACCATTCCTGCTGGCCAGGACCCTCATGAAGACCTGGAGGCTGTTGGCTCTGTCTGTGCTGTTCTGCTGGGTCTGCTGACTGGTCTGGAGCAACTGGAAGGGATGGTAATGATTTATATTAATATATATTTAGCTACTGCAGGCTTAATTTCAACATGAATTTGTATCAGTACATATGTCAAAACAAAACTATGACAGAGTATGCATATGGAGCAAATCTTATAACCAGGACTTTTCCTGTGCTGTAATGACATCATCTTCCATGTTTACTATTGCCTGTCCATTTTGTTTCACAAATACAAATTAAACACAAGAACATAAAGATACAAGTTGATATGACAAAGCGTGGCTCCAATGAACAGCACATCCTGGATGATAACTTTGAATATTTCTTAATCTTTTCTCTCACAGTCAGGACTTCAGTTTCAAATTTGCCATTCAAATATAAAATACATTGGCTCATTACTTACCATTCCACATTAGTATTTCTAGCTTAATATAGCAGACACGAGCCCAGGTTTTAGAAAAAAAAAACCAAACCAAACACCTTACATAAATTTTTGGAGGTTTAACTGCTCTGGGGTCATGTAACAAGGCAGCAAAGCTGTCAAATGTACAGACAAAAACCAGAAAATAAAAACGCAGGAAATAGGATACTGTCAATTCTGATGAGCTAATGTATTATGCTTACTGTAACTGCATAGCCAACATCAAATTCTTACTCTGCATACCATTGGATTAGGATGAAAGTAAAATGTGTATCAAGCATTAGACTAAGTTCCCATACCTAGATCAATCTAACAGGATCAATGCAACTCCAAGGGGTTTCTCACTAAATTGCTTTCAATTTGAGAGTCTTAGGATTCTGGCATGCCAGTTTCAGTAGGCGTGACAGACAACTAAGCCACTTACATTGATTGCAATTTAGCGAGAATTCCCATGGAGATAGATCGATCCACAGTTAGCGTGATAGGGTCTGGAAATAGTCCCTAAGGTGTCAGGCTGATAAGAGTTAAACTTTGGAAATGCCAGAATGAGGTACAGTGAAAATTACACACAAAAAAAAANACTAAATTGCTTTCAGTTTGAGAGTCTTAGGATTCTGGCATGCCAGTTTCAGTAGGCGTGACAGACAACTAAGCCACTTACATTGATTGCAATTTAGCAAGAATTCCCACATCTGTGTCTGTACATAAAAATCATTTTGGCATTAACTGTAGCCATTGGTTAAATGTTTACACTATTGTTGTACAAATAAATGGATTTGGTTAATGACACCTACAGAATGTTTCGATGTTATCAGTGAACATTAGGCAAACATGCTGTAAGAATAAAGTTGCGAAATTTTACTTTTTTTGCGTTTTTTTTTTTTTTCACTATAACACAGCAATATTATACTTCTTGCATGATTTTTTTTTCTTTCAGTATAACATGTATCTAAAATGTATTGTTTTAATTTTCCCCATCATTTCATTTTTCAGTATTTGACATTTTGTTGAAGTTCCAGCAGACAGGAGACTGGAGACAAGCGTTGATGGTGGGTGTACCACAGAGAACAGGGTTCATCTTGAAATCAGATAACATAGTCTGATACCAACTTACCTGTATTTGAACTGTCATGATGTAAGGGGGGCATCACAAAGAACTCCAGAAGGAAGTTTTTACTCGAGATAAATCAAACCTAGTCCATTTAAGGTGCAATATTTTGACTGTTTTATAGCAAGAAAGACATGGCTTTGGATTATGTGATTGATCCATAGTTACTGTCTCCAACTAGACAACTGCAGATATGTCAGTAACTGAACTGGGGCAAAATTTCAGTCAGAATTTATTATTGCTCGTCTTAAAATGAACAACTTCAAGTTTTAAATTTGTTTGTGAAGGACAATGATTAGCCTGTCATGTATGCACAATTCTAAATCCTAAAGAATCCATAAACAAATCATTTTTTTCATTATATTTTATTTGAAAAGAGATAGAAGTTCCATGATGTCATACCCAACTCTCAAATCTACCTCTCTTTTTGCTGTCTTAAAGGTCAGAGCAACATTACATGCGAGTCTGTGATTTCAGAACTGAGGTCCCTGTATAATGTGAATGTATTTCGCAAACACCAATGGATACATTTTTGTGTTGCCTTCAGGGAAGTCTTAAATATGATTTGGCAAAAATATTCTTCCTGGGTCTCCTTGATGAAATGACACCATTATAACAACTTTTTCAGCAAAGTTTGAGACCACTGCTCATTTTGAATGAGTCTAATACTTTCCTCAATCGTTTCTCTGTACAATAACGTATACTTAAGTACACTATCTGCCTGTAGCTCTGACAGCCAGTCTAGAACAAGGACAAACATGGATTCTGTGCCTAGAGCAGGGAGAATAGACAGAAGATGGCAGACGTGGCATACTGCTTGACTCAACAGGAAGGCCTGGCTGGTAGCTGGGTGAGAGAGACTGCTGAAGACACTCTGAAATATAGACATTGTGTTCAACATGGTTGTATTAAACCTTTTTAACTGAATTTGAAGTTTTGCAAGTGACAAAAAATTACAAAGTTGTTATCATAACTTCAGTGTTGAAATATTTTTTTAAAAGTTGTTCAAGTTAAAGGTTGTTGAAGTTAAATTATGATGTTGTTACCTGTTTCTAAAAATGTAATAAAACAATGAATAAAAAATAATTAAAAAAAATAATGATTGTAATTCAATTTGTCTTTCGAATACATTTTCCAAAAAATCAATTTTATCACTCGGTCATTTCCAAGGCTACCTTAGTCTAATAAATTTTTCTGTAGATGGCATTACTTAGAATGTGCTTACTTTGAGCGTGTTGGCACAACATTGGTTAAGATGAAACCAAAATCCTTCACCACTTTTTTCTTGCATCATAAACCCATACAATGTCTGCCATAGGCACATCACATCTGAGGTAAACTGTAACAAGCTCAGTTCATACTTAACACCTGGAATTGGACATTTATTAAGAATCTTTAACATGTACTGGCATATATATAAAGTGACATGTCTTCTTAACTGTCTCCTAAAATGATGGCATGACCAACTAGATAACAGTATTTTGTAATTTTATGTGACAAACACTAAAAAAAGAAAATCCAAAATTATAAAATGAGGTGATTCTGGGACATTTTTTACAATATTCATAAAATGTTCTAAAATTCCATAACCACTGGAGAATTTGTTAAGTGGAGAAATTGCAAATAAGAAAGATTTTATAACTTGGATTATCTGAATATTGTAACATAAGATGATATTAACAGATATATTGAACCCATATTTACCTGTGAGGTCCACAAGTGGCAGATGTTTCATGTAATGTGTCTGAAACTGGACGTGGACCTGGTCAGCCCTCACCAGATGACCAACTAGACATACAATGTTTGACCACTCACTCATCAAACAATTTGGTAACACCTGAAAGGTGAGTTAAAGATTGAATGTCAATGTCTTAGCACAGCTCCACTTTAAGCTCCACTTCACATTAAGCTACCTGGCAGAAGATACTTGAATTTTCCAAGAGAAAATGTGTTTCAAGAACAAAATTTTAAAATCCTATCTATTAAGAATAATTACTTCTGTCCAACAGTCTTATCCCCGAGCTGCGTAATTGTAATGCTTTGTGTAAAAAAAGTCAACATTTGATAATTACCTGTATGGCTGCTGACAGAAGACACTGGTAGGACATTACTGTATTACAATCCATTCCTTTCAATACTGCTGATGTCAAAGTGTTGCTGATAGCACAAAGCTTGAGAAGTGAAACTTCCACCTCCTCATCTGAGAATAAATTATCAAAAATCAAAAATTATTAAAAATACAATTAACAATATACGCTGTGCATACAGTAGACTCTGTATACCTTTGGCACTCTGAGACCAGTAGATTTATTTGTTCGTGGAAAATGATAATTTGAGTTGTACAGTGAAGAATCTACTATGTACATGTAAATAATCAACATCCAGTTTTTTGATGACTGACAAGCATTTAACATTTTTGTCCTGATGATTCCTGATTATTAGTACTACTGTAACAGCAGATGTTTGTTCATTTTGGGTTATTTAGTGCCCACTTGATGATGTACTTGTATGCTGTTTCTAATACTGATACAGCATTTTTTCTTTACACTCTAAGAAAAGAAAGTAAACATACCTGTCGTCACATCGACTGCAGACCATTCATCAGCAGGAAGATGGCAGATACTGGAGATGACTTTGGGATAGTCCTTTAACTGATATTTCATCTAGAAAATATAAGATTAATACTGACATATCAATCTTCTCAGTAAGACATCTTATCTAACAAAAGATCATCATTCACTTAATCATAAATATCTTTTCTATTTAAACATCAGGAGTGTCATCTTCTACTAGTGGCATATATTCCCTTTCTCTTTTAAATTACTTACAATTAATATCACATAAACATGTGATTAGAAGAGTATATATGATCCTCTTTCAGTAGAAATCATAAAATACCTTGGGTAATGTGTCTGAAGTAATAGCTTTCAGCACAGGTTCAGCCTGCAGTCTTGCCTGCCATCCAATATTACACAGCTGCTCACATAACCATTCCACATCTAACTCTAAAACATACAGGAGAAGATTAGATGTAAATCACTTTGTGTCAAACATTTTTGAGCCTCCTTATCTTTCAGGACACGTGTCTAAGAATCTCCTGTCCTAAAGGAGAAATTTAATAGTGGCCAGTAACTGAACAAATTAACCAAAGTTCACTGGCCTGACAGTAATACTGACATTTACCATGGGCCACAGCTTAACATCACAGACTAGAATGTGTAAAATAACTTTATAATAAATTAATGAGGTCACTCTCTAACACTTTTTTAAGCTATCAAACCCAACCGTTAAAGCTTTAAAATAATTTAAATTACTAAAAGCAACATGAACAAGTAACTGACATAGCACTGACTGCAACTGGTAACACAGACAGCCCTAACTGATGGTCATTTGCGCATATATATATATATATATACATATTGTAAAAAGGTGTGAACTCTAATAAAACTTAGGCTGTAGGATGTAAAAAATCTGTTTCCTTACCTACAAACTTGTGATTTTGCAGCACATTGGCCATGTCTTGTAGTATATCAAGACAGCACTGCTTCAACACTGTCCTGTTTCCTGTGTCAGCAGGGTCCCACAGGGAACAGGAGCACTGTTCTATCATACCACACAAGCAGACTACTATGGCAAGGGGGTCACAGCAACCAGAGTCCAATATGGAAGACGGAGAGCACTGTAATACTTTGTGAAAAACCTAAAAGATAAGATTTGTTTTCAACATTATAATCAAGAACTTTCATAAAAAAACCAAGATATGGTTTTTAAAAATGCCATATTTGAAAATCCACAAATCAAAAAGAAAAGTATTTAGTCAATGTTTCAGCTATTTCTAATCAGAACATCCTAATAAGCAAAGAAACAGCTATAATATTATAATACCTGCAATGCAAAAGTTGGATCAATTTCCACCAAGGAGAGCTGTGGTACCACCAACTGCTCCAAACAACACTTGGGAGATATCAAAAATGGGGCCTCCTGCATCGCTGAAACCAAAAGTGCCATCAAGTTCTGTCTGTGAGTTTCTGTCATGTTTGGTTTATTCAGCCATGTTAATAAGACATTTTCCAGTAAAGGGAGATCTGACTGGCTGGCTGGATTGTACTGGCAAAGGACTGGGACTGACTTCAATAGCTGTGGAAAAAATTATTTTATTACAATGATGTATGCAAAGATATACTCAAATGTTCATCAGTAAACAATCAGCTACAGATGTTTCACAAAATATGACTGCACTGTTCATAAATTTGATTTTTCCAAAACTCCTGTTCCACAACCTACCTAGTGATGTTAAAGTACGAAGTACTGCAGTATTTTTGGGGTAAAAAATGTCAGTTTCTTGTAGTTTCTTGTAACATAGCAACAAGCAAACAAACATACAAACAAGCAGACCAATAAACTTGTAAAAAATTCTTTAACAAGTAATAAATATTTTAGAAAGTAATATAAGTGCATAAAACAACTATCTGACCTGTGTGATTAACTGAGTCTGTCCATTATTGACCACTGCATACTGGATGATCTTTTCCATTACATCATGCGGAGACTGCAAGGCAAGAGCCAGCACCTCACACTGTACCTAAAAATATAATCAAACAGATAGCAACAAAAGCGAGATGAGAATGACAAAAAAAGCCATAAAAACTAGTAGTTATGTTGAAAAAATAAAAATATTTGAAAAAGAAATATTTTTTACATAAAGAAAAAAAGCATACTGCAAGAATAAATTAAGTTGGTGAGAGGGAACCATAGAGGTCACAATTAAATCAACCACTGACCCACCTGTCTCCCTGGCTTTCCTGCTGTAGTTAGCCTGTTGAAGGCGGATGTTAAAGTCTGATCAAACTGGTCATCTTTATGCCACTGATGACTGGTCAGAAACCGATGAAAGAGCTGGTTCTGGTTGTAAATGTCCAATAGCCCATAAGCACGGAGAACCAGCTGAATTTAAAATTGTTATTATTGGTTAAAAAAAGACTTCTGTTTACAGCCTGTGCCAAAAATTTTATATTTGCTCTTCAAGACACCAGTGATTAAGACTCTACTAACCCAAAGCACACACACATCTAGTCCCTCCCAGTGGACCTCCACATATGACAGGTGAAAAGAGTGATATTATTTCTTCACACTCTCTTTGCTCTAAACTTCAAAGGTCACAGAAAACTGTACATATTTAAAACCTACATATTTCTAAAATATGAGCAGGGGATTAAGGACCCACCTTCTCAAGCTTGCTTGCCACCTGCCCTTTTTTGGTTTCTTGACCACTGCCCAGCAGACCAAGGAGTTTAGGAATATATTCAACTTTGGCCAAGGCAACTACATTGTCTTCCAAACAATCCAACCACCTGCAAAATTATACTCACTAGAATTTCAACTTAACTTACATTTTTAGTTTCCAAGTTTGCTTTTGTGCAAAACAAGGTATATACTATTACCCAAACTTAGCCTTAAAACTTGCTCAAGAACAAAAGTACTGATGTTAAATAGATAAACCATAAATAATGAAGTTACTGTAGTTAATATCAGTATCTCTGAAAACACACAAGAACAGTAGCAGGCATGCTGTAAGTGGTCACACACATACTGACCTATCTTCAAGTCCTGACGTAATCTCTTTAGCATCGAGTAGCCATAACAACCAGTCTGAAACAAGAAAAGTATATATCTAAACTTCATCTAAAACATAATGACAATTTTAATCAATTATGTACATACATACATATATAACAGAACTTCCGAGATATTTCTGTGCATTCTATATGCTCTCAAATGAATCTTTTCTCGCCCATTTTCAAACTAAAACTCCTCTCAAGAGCTCTGATGCTTACTTTCCCAACCAGCCTTTCGCTCGTACACACATAAAGCTGCTTCAGCCAATTTTTCTTCAGGTGTGGGCTCTCGTCTCTTAAGCTCCTCTCTGTATTTTCTACTGATATCAGCATGAACTGGGGCCACAGACTTGAGCACAGTTTCCAAACAGTTTCGCATGCATGAAAACTCCTCTGTTTGCAGAGCCAAATTCAAGGATGCTTCAAACTGCTCCAATGTTATGAAAACGCAGTCGATGGTTATATTCTCGGACTGAGGGTCAAGATCAAATTTGTAAAACAAGCTTTGAAAATGGCCCTCTGTCTGAATGCAGTGGTTTAAAAAAGCTAAAATGTCACCAAGAAATGATTTCAAAGAATCCCAGAGGTCATGCACAGTGGACTGAGTTCCCCCTTCTTCTGATCTGACAGAACTGAGAACATGTACTGATTCCATGGCAACTGCCATTAAACACAGAAGCATTTCCCTCTTTTGTTCTTCCATGAGGGAATGTTCTAGCATTATCTGACAAGTGTTAAGTAATCTTTTCAATGTGGGAAGTTTATATGGCCATTCACATAATTTATAGTCATGCTGCACAGGTACACTGATATCTTCAGTGTGGTAAGCAACCAAATTTTCTTGCTGTCTAGTGCCATTGACAACTGCCTTGCCCTTGGATTCTGTAGATTTAATTGTCTTCTTGGCTGATACAAGTAATGCATTGTGTTTGACAGAAAATTTGCATATGGCATGGAGAATGTCTGCATCTCTGTCCTCATAGAGTGAGAGGTGAGACAAAAATCCAATCATAAACTTCATCTGTATGTCTTCTCTAAGTTCTGAGAGTATCTGAAAATAAACAGGTGACCTGACTTACATCTGGGGACGTAAATTTTTGAAACTATTTTTCTTTAACGAAAAATAGTATAATGTTTCTCTTTAATTCAAAACTTTGTTGACAAAANATACTATTACCCAAACTTAGCCTTAAAACTTGCTCAAGAACAAAAGTACTGATGTTAAATAGATAAACCATAAATAATGAAGTTACTGTAGTTAATATCAGTATCTCTGAAAACACACAAGAACAGTAGCAGGCATGCTGTAAGTGGTCACACACATACTGACCTATCTTCAAGTCCTGACGTAATCTCTTTAGCATCGAGTAGCCATAACAACCAGTCTGAAACAAGAAAAGTATATATCTAAACTTCATCTAAAAACATAATGACAATTTTAATCAATTATGTACATACATACATATATAACAGAACTTCCGAGATATTTCTGTGCATTCTATATGCTCTCAAATGAATCTTTTCTCGCCCATTTTCAAACTAAAACTCCTCTCAAGAGCTCTGATGCTTACTTTCCCAACCAGCCTTTCGCTCGTACACACATAAAGCTGCTTCAGCCAATTTTTCTTCAGGTGTGGGCTCTCGTCTCTTAAGCTCCTCTCTGTATTTTTCTACTGATATCAGCATGAACTGGGGCCACAGACTTGAGCACAGTTTCCAAACAGTTTCGCATGCATGAAAACTCCTCTGTTTGCAGAGCCAAATTCAGGGATGCTTCAAACTGCTCCAATGTTATGAAAACGCAGTCGATGGTTATATTCTCGGACTGAGGGTCAAGATCAAATTTGTAAAACAAGCTTTGAAAATGGCCCTCTGTCTGAATGCAGTGGTTTAAAAAAGCTAAAATGTCACCAAGAAATGATTTCAAAGAATCCCAGAGGTCATGCACAGTGGACTGAGTTCCCCCTTCTTCTGATCTGACAGAACTGAGAACATGTACTGATTCCATGGCAACTGCCATTAAACACAGAAGCATTTCCCTCTTTTGTTCTTCCATGAGGGAATGTTCTAGCATTATCTGACAAGTGTTAAGTAATCTTTTCAATGTGGGAAGTTTATATGGCCATTCACATAATTTATAGTCATGCTGCACAGGTACACTGATATCTTCAGTGTGGTAAGCAACCAAATTTTCTTGCTGTCTAGTGCCATTGACAACTGCCTTGCCCTTGGATTCTGTAGATTTAATTGTCTTCTTGGCTGATACAAGTAATGCATTGTGTTTGACAGAAAATTTGCATATGGCATGGAGAATGTCTGCATCTCTGTCCTCATAGAGTGAGAGGTGAGACAAAAATCCAATCATAAACTTCATCTGTATGTCTTCTCTAAGTTCTGAGAGTATCTGAAAATAAACAGGTGACCTGACTTACATCTGGGGACGTAAATTTTTGAAACTATTTTTCTTTAACGAAAAATAGTATAATGTTTCTCTTTAATTCAAAACTTTGTTGACAAAAAGTGTGTGTGTGTGTGAGAGAGAGAGAGAGAGAGAGAGAGAGAGAGAGAGAGAGAATAAATTACAATAGGCTTGTTTTTTCCTAAAAATATTGGGCCTCACTGCAACATCCCACTTACCTTCCATAGAAATGAGAAATGATAAAATGAGACAGCCAAATTACAATCACATACTTCTTACTTAAAGTCAAATAAAAAAGATCACTTTTCTGGTAGCCTGAAAGATATATGACATACATAAAACCTTTCATTGAAAGACTTCATATCTCCATTGAAAATGTGTAAGAGCTACTAAATCAGATACCATACTTACTTCACAGAGTATTGCTTCCCAGTGACATGCTTTCACCAATTCATAGTAGACATCCATGCTGAGTCTGGGTAGACATTCTTCTAGGACATCACTCCACTCCTCCTCCTCCTCATCTTTCTCTCCCTCCTCTTCACTGCCATGCCCCTTTAATCCACTGGAGCATACCTCCTCTTCATTATCCAGCTTCTTGGCCTTTTCTTCATTATTACTCAAGGTCCTGGCCAGAAGTATTGCACACAGCTTCCAGGCCCAAAACTGCTTGTCAGGAGCAGCATGTGGATATTCCAAACCTTCTATGATCTCTCCTATGGTTTCTATGACTGGCCTGATGACATCTACACAACAAGGCAGTTCATATGTCTCCAAGTCAATGCCCTGTAATGAACAAAGCCTTTAAGGTGAACCTATTTAAAATTTTTTTTGTGATAATATTATTCGAACAATCCCAAAGCTGGGTGACACATAACAGGTGAAACAGACCTTTCAAACAATCTGGTTTGAATCTTTAATTGTTGCCAGGAAGACAGGTGACAATTAAGGGACTGTTAAACAAACCAACTTGTTAATCATACTGAGTATAGCCAGGCGTATCATAAATGGAAAACTTCTGATTCAATAGTACCAACAAAATTCTTTTTGAGGAATATTTTACTCTTATATCTTTCCCCTTGTACTGTTAAGTTTACCTGTGATTTAATCAGCATGAAACTGCCATGTAGCACAGCCAGTTCTGGACAAAACTCCATCTTGTTCTATCTGGAAAAATGAAGGTTTATATGATATTATACAATTATGATGTATATTAACTGCTATCATTCTTGAAAGAGTAACCATCTCCATTCTTCTAAAATTGTTAAACAAGTTTTTACATGCATATAAATTTAATAATTTGTATCTGCAAAGCGCAAACTGCTTTTACAACTTTTAATTTTAAATTTGGAATATTTTGATGACATTCAGTGATGTATTAATTCAATAAATGTATTTCAAATGCACACCTTTCTTCAGACTAATAACATTGGACTATTCATAAAAATGATGTATAAATTAGTCATAATTTCCCAACCATGAAATCTACAATATAATCAGGTCCGAGATCTCCGTCTTTCCAAATGACAAGGTTACATGTTAGCAGCACATATAAAAGTTCACCCCTAGAACACACTATATATAATTACTTAGAGATTTGGCATGTCTGAATCCATAATTTTGTTGTCATTCTTCTTAATACTTTAAAGACATTTAAAAGAAGACACAAAAGTTAATTGCAATCAAGAAACATATCACAAAGTGCCAAGAATTCACAGATACTGGATAATGCACTTTACAGGTCAGTCTACAATTTGATAATGCATTTGATATCCCACGTCAAAAAAAATTAATCTAGACATTGCATGACCAAAGCTTGATTACAAGACAATTTCCACCTAAACTGGAATCTGGATATAGGTAGATAGGCTGTCTAATACATGGTTACACCACCCTACTAGATATGTTCACCAGTCATGCTGAAAATGACACCTTGGTAGACTGAACCTCTGCATACTGGCACAGATAAGTGGGAATTCATATCATCCAACCAGAAACAATATACGGTGGGCAGAATTGTCCTGCTATATCGTTGAAAACAGGTGCATAAATTTAGTAGTAATTAAGAGTAAGCATAACTAAAGTACACAATGAAAACGAATCAGAGTTAATGGGGTGGGGGGGTGCAAAAGTACCAAAAATCCAAAGCTAAGTTGAATATACCACCTCCAATTATCACTTTGTAACACAAAGAAATGCAATAAATTGCGTATGACCCACTGAACAAGTAATTATTGAGAATATAAACTGTAAAAACGTACGAAAGTGTCACGCAAGAGCGACGCACGTGTTGACTCGGGTTACATAGAAAACCAAGATTGAGGGCAATATTTCAAATAAGCATAGAAAATGTTACATCAAATTGATAAGAATACAAAACACATAGCGAATATCAAAAAATGTTCTTCATGCATGAAATTATATATTCTTGGCCATATTGGATACATATTATTTATGAAGAACATCTGAATATCATAATTTTGTTCCGGCCGTCATAATCTTAAATAGATGTGTGTCGTCATCAGTTCCCGCTCGACCACTGTCGTAAACAACGTGTAGTCAGAAGCTCCAGAGATGAAAATCAAGTTCTCATTGAGACAACTTAAACAGGTAAAAATTTACAATTTAGATGAGGGTGAAAATATTTGATCTACCATTTAAGGTTGTTTTTAGCGGTATGTTAATATTTTGTAGCTTTTGTTCATTGTGAGACCACTTCGTTGTTCGGTGAATGAATCAGGGGTCAACCGCAATGTCACTGCGCGACGGTGAACTTCGTAATGTTTGACAATAAACGTCTTTCTTAGCAGTCTGTATGTTGATTTTAAATTAATGTTTGCAATGAGTATGCTGTAAAGTTTGTTTGGATGACTATTCACAGACTCTTGTGGGGGTGTCGGCCAATTTTTGCATTCGGATTTGGGTGTATTTTTTAAAAGTAAAATCAGCTGATCGCAGAATTACTGAAAGTGAAATAGAGTTTTGAGTGTAATTATGGACAAGTGTATTGCTAAACATCATAGCCTTGAATGTCAGTGCATTAAAATATAATGAATCCCCTTTTCATTGATTGGAATTGGATTTAGTGAAAAATTCTATTAATACATATGGGAAATTTTACCTTCATGGAGGAAAAACACTAATGATTAATGATAGGGGTGATTTACCGAGATTGATTTCTCTGCATTTTTAACAGTAGGTAACATCAAATTTCATATCCGTGTTTGCCTGTATGCTCCCTCCTCTCCAAAATTACTTTAAAATTTTTTTCACAGTTTATCTTTAGCACAAATGATGATAAAAAAAGTTCTATTTCAATTACTATAGGAAGGCATTGCCTGGAGGGGTTTTCCTTATTTGTAAACATTCTCCATTTGCGTCACTCTGTATGCCTTTAGATAGCAGAGGAGCTTTGATTTCATTATATGGTTTTATTAGCACCTGTGTATTGAGTCTAGGAACTGTTGTACACGAGCAATTAATCTCCTGACCAAATGGAAGCCTCATATATATATATATATTCACTCCCCCGTGCTTCATATAAAATTGGTATAACTATGCTGCTAATAGGAACGGCTTGTTCCAGCCATTCATGATAGTGATTCAAGTTGTCTTTAAACTTCAGGGCCGACTTAAGATATATTAAGCTAATAACATTCCAGACGATAACCTGGCTGCACTGTGAAAACGTGATGAAAGTTAAAGAAGTATTAGGAGCTTTCTGCTGATGTGGTAATCTTGTAAATTCTTAACTCAGGCAGCTAAGCTGTACATAGCAGGAGAAAGCTTCCATTTACTTTTATAACTTTTATCCAGAGTTTTCAAAGTCAAACCTAGTTATTTATAATCTACCTGTATAGATGGATGTTCATCAGTCTACCTGGTATAGAGTACATTCTTTGAAAGAAAGGGGGAGGGGGGCAAGATCTCCATTAGATAACTGTGAAATTGTGTAGGTTCAATCAATCATTTTTACATGTCAGATATAGTACTTCAGGAACTTCATATTGGAAAAAACGGAAATGTCACTTGGAAGTATCTTCAAGCTTGATTTGTGATGAAAAATTTGAAAAAAATCTGATTTTATTGGATAAATTAGACTTGATGATGTGATTACATTAGTAGCTCATTGGTTTTTATAATTCAGCTATCTAAATGTTTTAACTTCATTAACTATATGCCCTGAAATGTGATCCCCAAACAAGCACTTGCCATGCCTCCACTCCCTAACATTTTTCTTAGTCTAAGAAAACAGCACCTGGCAGGTGGAACGGCAGGTGAACACTGAGAGAAGGCTAGACGTTGGCTCCTTTCCAGGTCTACACCCCCAACAAAATAGGTATATATTAGCCAGCTACCTGGAAAATCTTGACTTGGTGATCTTTTATTGCTAAACTGAGTCAAGGCTTGGCTTACTTATCGGTCTTTTTATAAATAAAGTACTTATTTTTAAAAAAGTTAAATTGATTCTGGCCTGTAGTATTATTGGTGCTTTTAGACATATGTTCTTCATTATGTAATGATTCATTTAAAAATCTTTAAAAGGTTTCTTGTTTTTAATTACATATTCTCCAAATTTGAAAATACCATTTAAGTGAGTCCATAGGGAGTATATATGTACATTATGTTGGTCATAAGTGTTGAGGTTTGTGGTTTCAGCAACATGTCATATTTCACATCACAGTGACCACCTGCTGAAATCAAAGGCCCTGTTTAGTAATAGGTTCTGTTTTAATATTCTCAACCTCCCCCTCAAAAACCCATACTATTACGTTAATTGTAGCTAGGGCCAGTATTTTGTCAAAAATACAGTAAACCTTTTATTGCAAAAATATAGAAATATTACCACCTCGCTGTCAAATTTGCATTTTTTCCATCAACATGAGCCTCTTTGTCATTTGGTATGCATGTTATGCACTCATTGCATGAGTGAATTGTTAGGAGAGAGGATAGAGAGGTTTTCCTAGTATATAATACATGTATAATAATATATATGCAGTCATTGACTCAATACACAGATCATGTCTGTTATGTTGTCTCTGCTCCTTTGACATCAACAACTTGTTTTGGCTTTCTGTAATCTGGTTGGAAATAGATAAAGATAGGACAGACGTCAAATTAATCTGGTGAACACCTCGAAGTGTTTCTGTTTTGATACATTTCATGATATCGTGAATAATATTTACAGTATGTCTTTAAGCAACATGAACTGATGTCACCCTTTTTTGTGCTGCACACCTCCACAAAGTCGCTTCAAATTTATTTACTAGTAGATAACTACGTTTCTTAACGCGCATTTTGGTTTCAATAATTTTGTATAAAAATGCAATCAGGGTGATCAATTATATAATATTATTGTTACATTATTGGTTTATTGTTTTTAATATATTTATCTCTATAAAGGTTTTTGTGTGAATTTTTTTTTGTGTATCTGAATGAATTGTAAAACCACTTCTACTGCCGTGTATACTGTGGCTTCTGTGTTGAATTACCTCAGTATCTCAATGACAATTATCATTTACATCAAGGTACAATTGCTCTTTTGAACTTCATTGCGTCAATGCACACCTTGTTCTGGCAAAGTTGTATTGCTTTTTTTCTCTCAAAATTGTCTGGTGTACCAGATCTTTTAAAACCAGCAGATTTTTCTGCATAAAAATAACAGGGAGACATGTTCAGAATTTATTATGATTCACTTTTTTGTCTAATGTGAACTTTTTGGACTTTTTTTTCATTTTTTCATTGTTGGAGGGGAGAGGGCTTTATCCTATATACTTTATTTATATATTTTTCTTTTCGTTGTTGAAAGCCACAGTTTACCAGCAGCCAGGTAGGAGTGGTTCCATAATTGGAGCCAGTTGTTCTGCCATGTTTATTTCTTGCAGAAATCTTCCGGGAACAGTTGACCCTGACTCTCTAGCAGAGCTCATCTCGGGTTCTTTCTCTTATAGAAGTTTGGTATGCTTCAAGCAGGCCTACATTCAACGTTCTGGAGTAGGGTTGCCTTACTATCATTAAATATAATACTTGAAATCTTCAGCAATAGATCTTTTATAAATATTTGCACTGAAAAAATCAAAAGTCTCAATTTGTGAAGTATCCAATCAATTTAAATTTAAAGGTATATGTAGTTTTCAACATTTGAATTAATGATTTTTTTGACACTTTGAATTAATTTATTTTACAATTTTACACTTTTTAATGGCGGATATTAGGCTTGGGACTCTTAAAAATTACTGTCAAAAAGGAATTATCATTTTGGTATATTAGCAACTGTTTGAAAAAGAAAAGCTATTTGTAACAGTTTTGTCTTTTAAAATTTGGCAACCCTACACATAACTTTTCCATCTTATTTTGAATTCAATAATCAAATTTTATCATTACTATTAATTAAACTATTACATATCAAATACATGCTTGCATACTGTAACTCACACTGCTTTGATTAGTTTATCACATTGTGACTACAACTGTTATATCCTGTAGACTTCACATTTTAAGTAATATGACATAATTAAGGAGCTACTTAAGTTCATCTAAATAATTTTTTTGTTTGCAAAGCTCATTTTTAAAATTGGCTTTTATTACCTCATGAACAGTAAACAAAGTTATCTCAATCAAACAATGATACCCAAATTGGCTGTACTACATTATTGACAAATTTCAATATTCAACATTTTTTTATCTTTATTTAAATGCAGACAAACATTTACTAGTAAGTACAGTGGTTAAAAAATCATAAAACCCTTGTTACAAGTCACATATCAACTCCAACTTTAAGTGGGCTTTGCCAAACAAATGTCACGGCAGACAGATTAACAGAGAAAATATTTTTATTTCCAGTTGGATGGCCGTAGGAGTTTTTCAGCCATCAGTGTAGGAGAAACTGGTGCTACTTGCCTGCACCTTGATAAGTGTGGGTTTTCCCAGTCAACACTAAACAAATCACTACCTCTCCGTGAATAACCAAGGTAAATTAATATGATGTTCACATATAGCCACCTTTTTCAATCATTTATTTATTTATTTATTTATTTATTTATTTATTTATTTGTTGATAAATTTGTCATTGATGTTGTTCTAAATTTTAGTTTTGCCAATTAATTTTTGGTTAGTTTTAGGTTAAAAGCAACCTTATCCAAAATTGGAACAAAATTCTCAGTCCCAAAGTGTCAAAGTTATGCAATCTTCTGTGTTTTGTTCAGTGCTTGAGCTTGTTATAGATATCTATATATATGTAAATATATATAAGGTTTTCAGCTGTATGCTCACACTCCTATTGTTCGGCCTACATGGGTTCCTTACTAGTAGGTATAGAGCACTGGATGATTACTAAGCAGTAATTTTATCGATCTTTTTCCTTGTTCGCTGGCACGTAATATGCTGTACAATTATTCAGGTATTTTCTGATTGCAAAAGTGCATTGATGTTGCTTCATGAAATCAATAATGCCATATCATTATATTGCCAAGTCATTTGTTTTGACATTTGTTGGTTTAATTTAAAATTCGGCTGTAGTGATTCAGAAAATACAGAGCTGTCTGGAACAACCTAAAATCAGTTTTTACGGGACAAATCCCAGGTTTATACTGAAAATGTATTTGTAGCTTAATCATGTAGCCTATGTATACGGAGAAGGGATCAATGATAAAGAATACTTAGGTTAGTAGACCTATGGTTAAATGAACCACAAGGAGGAACCGTGACATGCAAGGAGACTGCAGATGTGCGAAAGGACATTGTAAGGGCATTTCAATATCAAAATAAAAAGGGTAAATGGGTGCGGCAAATCAGCTGCAAGGAAGAAAAAACAACCCTTCACCCTTGGTTGTGCCTTTGTGCTGGGTATTGCCAAAACTAATAACTGTGTGTAAATAATCCTATTGTGGCCATTGACCAGCTATTGGCAGACCCGATCACATCCACTATGACTGAAGCATTTATATATAGCCTAGGCAATTAGAATGGGCTTTGTAATAATGCATCCTTGTAGGAAGAGCGGGAAATCGGTGGAATTTTCCAGAGCGTCTGACAGTCTGGGTTAGGAACCTTGATTCATTGCGTAGATTTTTTTTTTTTTTNAAATGCAATAAATTGCGTATGACCCACTGAACAAGTAATTATTGAGAATATAAACTGTAAAAACGTACGAAAGTGTCACGCAAGAGCGACGCACGTGTTGACTCGGGTTACATAGAAAACCAAGATTGAGGGCAATATTTCAAATCAGCATAGAAAATGTTACATCAAATTGATAAGAATACAAAACACATAGTGAATATCAAAAAATGTTTTTCATGCATGAAATTATATATTCTTGGCCATATTGGATACATATTATTTATGAAGAACATCTGAATATCATAATTTTGTTCCGGCCGTCATAATCTTAAATAGATGTGTGTCGTCATCAGTTCCCGCTCGACCACTGTCGTAAACAACGTGTAGTCAGAAGCTCCAGAGATGAAAATCAAGTTCTCATTGAGACAACTTAAACAGGTAAAAATTTACAATTTAGATGAGGGTGAAAATATTTGATCTACCATTTAAGGTTGTTTTTAGCGGTATATTAATATTTTGTAGCTTTTGTTCATTGTGAGACCACTTCGTTGTTCGGTGAATGAATCAGGGGTCAACCGCAATGTCACTGCGCGACGGTGAACTTCGTAATGTTTGACTATAAACGTCTTTCTTAGCAGTCTGTATGTTGATTTTAAATTAATGTTTGCAATGAGTATGCTGTAAAGTTTGTTTGGATGACTATTCACAGACTCTTGTGGGGGTGTCGGCTAATTTTTGCATTCGGATTTGGGTGTATTTTTTAAAAGTAAAATCAGCTGATCGCAGAATTACTGAAAGTGAAATAGAGTTTCGAGTGTAATTATGGACAAGTGTATTGCTAAACATCATAGCCTTGAATGTCAGTGCATTAAAATATAATGAATCCCCTTTTCATTGATTGGAATTGGATTTAGTGAAAAATTCTATTAATACATATGGGAAATTTTACCTTTATGGAGGAAAAACACTAATGATTAATGATAGGGGTGATTTACCGAGATTGATTTCTCTGCATTTTTAACAGTAGGTAACATCAAATTTCATATCCGTGTTTGCCTGTATGCTCCCTCCTCTCCAAAATTACTTTAAAATTTTTTTTCATGGTTTATCTTTGGCACAAATGATGATAAAAAAAAGTTCTATTTCAATTACTATACTAGTAGGAAGGCTTTGCCTAGAGGGGTTTTCCCTTATTTGTAAACATTTTCCATTTGCGTCACTCTGTATGCCTTTAGATAGCAGAGGAGCTTTGATTTCATTATATGGTTTTATTAGCACCTGTGTATTGAGTCTAGGAACTGTTGTACACGAGCAATTAATCCCCTGACCAAATGGAAGCCTCATATTTTCACTCCCCGTGCTTCATATAAAATTGATATAACTATGCTGCTAAATAGGAACGACTTGTTCTAGGCATTCATGATAGTGATTCAAGTTGTCTTGAAGCTTCAGGGCGGACTTAAGATCTATAAAGGTAATAGCATTCCAGATGATAACCAGGCTGCACTGTGAAAACGTGATGAAAGTTAAAGAAGTATTAGGAGCTTTCTGCTGTACTGCCAATCTTGTAAATTCCTAACTCAGGCAGCTAAGCTTTACATAGCAGGAAAAAGCTTCAATTTACTTTTATAACTTTTATCCAGAGTTTTAAAAGTTAAACCTAGCTATTTATAATCTACCTGTATAAATGGATGTTCATCAGTCTACCTGGTATAGAGTTCATTCTTTGAAAGAAAGGGGGAGGGAGACAAGATCTCCCTTAGATAATTGTGAAATTGTGTAGGTTCAATCAATCATTTGCACATGTCAGATATAGTACTCCAGTAATGTCAAATTGGAAAAAATGGAAATGTCACTTGGAAGTATCTTCTAGCTTGATTTGTGATGAACATTTTGAAAAAAATTCATATTTTATTGGATAAATTTGACTTGATGATGTGATTACAGTAGCTCATTGGTTTTTATTATTCAGCTATCTAAATGTTTTAACTTTATTAACTATATGCCCTGAAATGTGATCCCCAAACAAGCACTTGCCATGCCTCCACTCCCTAACATTTTTCTTAGTCTAAGAAAACAGCACCTGGCAGGTGGAAGGGCAGGTGAACACTGAGAGAAGGCCAGACGTTGGCTCCTTTCCAGGTCTACACCCCCAACAAAATAGGTATATATTAGCCAGCTACCTGGAAAATCTTGACTTGGTGATCTTTTATTGCTAAACTGAGTCAAGGCTTGGCTTACTTATCGGTCTTTTTATAAATAGAGTACTTATTTTAAAAAAAGTTAAATTGATTCTGGCCTGTAGTATTATTGGTGGTTTTAGACATACGTTCTTCATTATGTAATGATTCATTTTAAAAATCTTTAAAAGGTTTCTTGTTTTTAATTACATATTCTCCAAATTTGAAAATACCATTTAAGTGAGTCCATAGGGAGTATATATGTACATTATGTTGGTCATAAGTGTTGAGGTTTGTGGTTTCAGCAGCATGTCATATTTCACATCACAGTGACCACCTGCTGAAATCAAAGGCCCTGTTTAATAATAGCTTCTGTTTTAATATTCTCAACCTCCCCCTTAAATTAACCCATACTATTATGTTAATTGTAAATACAGTAAACCTTTTATTGCAAAAATATAGAAATATTACCACCTCGCTGTCAAATTTGCATTTTTTCCATCAACATGAACCTCTTTGTCATTTGGTATGCATGTTATGCACTCATTGCATGAGTGAATTGTTAGGAGAGAGGATAGAAAGGTTTTCCTAGTATATAATACATGTATATATATGCAGTCATTGACTCAATACACAGGTCATGTCTGTTATGTTGTCTCTGCTCCTTTGACATCAACAACTTGTTTTGGCTTTCTGTAATCTGGTCTGAAATAGATAAAGATAGGACAGACGTCAAATTAATCTGGTGAACACCTCGAAGTGTTTCTATTTTGATACGTTTCATGATATCGTGAATAATATTTACAGTATGTCTTTAAGCAACATGAACTGATATCACCCTTTTTTGTGCTGCACACCTCCACAAAGTCGCTTCAAATTTATTTACTAGTAGATAACTACGTTTCTTAACGCGCATTTTGGTTTCAATAATTTTGTATAAAAATGCAATCAGGGTGATCAATTATATCATATTATTGTTACATTATGTATTGGTTTATTGTTTTTAATATATTTATCTCTATAAAGGTTTTTGTGTGAATTTTTTTTGTGTATCTGAATGAATTGTAAAACCACTTCTACTGCGGTGTATACTGTGGCTTCTGTGTTGAATTACCTCAGTATCTCAATGACAATTATCATTTACATCAAGGTACAATTGCTCTTTTGAACTTCATTGGGTAAATGCACACCTTGTTCTGGTAAAGTTGTATTGCTTTTTTTCTCTCAAAATTGTCTGGTGTACCAGATCTTTTAAAACCAGCAGATTTTTCTGCATAAAAATAACAGAGAGTCGTGTTCAGAATTTATTATGATTCACTTTTTTGTCTAATGTGAACTTTTTGGACTTTTTTCCCCGTTTTTTCATTGGGAGAGGGGGGAGGTAGATATCCTATATACCAGTAGTTTATTTATATATTTTTCTTTTCGTTGTTGAAAGCCACAGTTTACCAGCAGCCAGGTAGGAGTGGTTCCATAATTGGAGCCAGTTGTTCTGCCATGTTTATTTCTTGCAGAAATCTTCCGGGAACAGTTGACCCTGACTCTCTAGCAGAGCTCATCTCGGGTTCTTTCTCTTATAGAAGTTTGGTATGCTTCAAGCAGGCCTACATTCACTAGCCTGGAGTAGGGTTGCCTTACTATCATTAAATATAATACTTGAAATCTTCAGCAATAGATCTATTATAAATATTTGCATTGAAAAATTCAAAAGTCTCAGTTTGTGAAGTATCCAGTCAATTTAAATTTAAAGGTTTGTGTAGTTTTCAACATTTGAATTAATAATTTTTCGACACTTTGAAGTAATTAATTTTACAATTTTACACTTTTTAGTGGCGGATATTTGGCTTTGAACTCTTAAAAATTACTGTCGAAAAGGAATTATCATTTTGGTATATTAGCAACTGTTTGCAAAAGAAGAGCCATTTGTAACAGTTTATCTTTTAAAATTTGGCAACCCTACGCATAACTTTTCCATTTTATTTTGAATTCAATAATAAAATTTTATTATTACAATTAATTAAACTATTACATATCAAATACATGCTTGCATACTGTAACTCACACTGCTTTGATTAGTTTATCACATCGTGACTACAACTATTATATCCAGTAGATTTCACATTTTAAGTAATATGACATTATTAAGGAGCTACTTAAGATCATCTGAATAATTTTTTTGTTTGCAAAGCTCATCTTTAAAATTGGCTTTTATTATCTCATGAACAGTCAACAAAATTATCTCAATTGGAACAATGTTACCCAAATTGGCTGTACTACATTATTGACAAATTTCATTATTCAACTTTTTTTATCTTTATTAAAATGCAGGCAAACAGTTAAGTACTAATACAGTGGTTAAAAAATCATAAAATCACCCTTGTTACAAGTCACATATCAACTCCAAATTTAAGTGGGCTTTGCCAAACAAATGTCACGGCAGACAGATTAACAGAGAAAATATTTTTATTTCCAGTTGGATGGCCGTAGGAGTTTTTCAGCCATCAGTGTAGGAGAAACTGGTGCTACTTGCCTGCACCTTGATAAGTGTGGGTTTTCCCAGTCAACACTAAACAAATCACTACCTCTCCGTGAATAACCAAGGTAAATTAATATGATGTTCACATATAGCCACCTTTTTCAATCATTTATTTATTTATTTATTTATTTATTTATTTATTTATTTGTTGATAAATTTGTCATTGATGTTGTTCTAAATTTTAGTTTTGCCAATTAATTTTTGGTTAGTTTTAGGTTAAAAGCAACCTTATCCAAAATTGGAACAAAATTCTCAGTCCCAAAGTGTCAAAGTTATGCAATCTTCTGTGTTTTGTTCAGTGCTTGAGCTTGTTATAGATATCTATATATATGTAAATATATATAAGGTTTTCAGCTGTATGCTCATACTCCTATTGTTCTGCCTACATGGGTTCCTTACTAGTAGGTATAGAGCACTGGATGATTACTAAGCAGTAATTTTATCGATCTTTTTCCTTGTTCGCTGGCACGTAATATGCTGTACAATTATTCAGGTATTTTCTGATTGCAAAAGTGCATTGATGTTGCTTCATGAAATCAATAATGCCATATCATTATATTGCCAAGTCATTTGTTTTGACATTTGTTGGTTTAATTTAAAATTCGGCTGTAGTGATTCAGAAAATACAGAGCTGTCTGGAACAACCTAAAATCAGTTTTTACGGGACGGATCCCAGGTTTATACTGAAAATGTATTTGTAGCTTAATCATTTAGCCTATGTA